ATGGGAGGACTTCAGTGCACTTGTGCAACCTCCTGTATCAAGGTAACATCATGCATAAGAAAAACAGAGGGAAGGAGACTTCTTGTTCCTCCCTCTCTGCAGAAACTCTGCCTCCAGCTATGATGCCTAAAGAACAGCACTCAAAGAAGCTTTTCTTCTTCCCCAAATAGTACCATCTTAAGGCATGGGACCAAAGGACCCAGGCATGGACACTCATCTTTGATGGGACCTGGGAACCCATGAGGCAGTGTAACACATGATTTGTCACACTGTGGAGTAGGATCACACGGGTTTCCCTGTGCTTCTTAATCAACCAACTGCTTCTCTGGAAAAGCAGTTACTATATATTCCCAGATAAACCATACATGGGCAGTCAATTTGTGTGTGCACAGTGCAGGTCTCTCTCACTTACATAATGAGACCTGTAGGTCACAGGCAAATCACATCTGCACTGAAGATATGGCCCTGGTTGTCTCAGATCTACTGTAGCTGTGCTGTATCTTGATGTGCACAGATCAAGAACTTCTTTTCTAGTTTCTCAGATGAAATTCAGGAAATTTGGCCTGCCTGGCCGAAAAGGACCTGGGGGTGCTGATTGACAGCCGGCTGAACATGAGCCAGCAGTGTGCCCAGGTGGCCAAGAAGGCCAACAGCATCCTGGCTTGTATCAGGAATAGTGTGGCCAGCAGGAGCAGGGAGGTGATTGTTCCCCTGTACTCGGCGCTGGTGAGGCCGCACCTGGAATACTGTGTCCAGTTTTGGGCCCCTCGATACAAGAAAGACATTGAGGTGCTGGAGCATGTTCAGAGAAGGGCAACAAAGCTGGTGAAGGGTCTGGAGCACAGGCCTTATGAGGAGCGGCTGAGGGAACTGGGGTTGTTTAGCCTAGAGAAGAGGAGGCTGAGGGGAGACCTTATCACTCTCTACAACTACCTGAAAGCACGTTGTAGGGAGGTGGGTGTTGGTCTCTTCTCCCAAGTAGTTAGCGATAGGAGGAGAGGAAATGGGCTTAAGCTGCACCAGGAGAGATTTAGATTGGATATTAGGAAAAATTTCTTTATGGAAAGGGTGGTCAAGCATTGGAACAGGCTGCCCAGAGAGGTGGTGGAGTCCCCATCCCTGGAAGCATTCAAAAAACGGGTAGACGTGGCACTTGGGGACATGGTTTAGTCTAGTCTACCCTTAATTGTTTTAGTGTGGACTTGGTAATGTTAGGTTAATGGTTGGACTGGATGATCTTAAAGGTCTTTTCCAACCTAAACGATTCTATGATTCTATGATATATCAAGGATATATTCATTTCTTTCTGAATGCCTGACTTACCTGTCCAAGGCTGTCCTGGATTTCACCATTGCACTCTGGCCTATTTCCTCTGGTTGAAATCTCACGTAAATGCTTTGCAAAGGTCCCCCAAGATCCTTAAGATTACTATGTCCTAAAGTCATAGATGTGAATGACCATTCAGAGAGCCCTTCCTGCCCCAGGCAAACTAGCCTGGGAAAATCCACATCACCCTTGACATAAAGGGTGCCGACATAGGTGCTTTTTTTGCAGCAGTACCCACAGGCAGCAAGTGCTTCTTGATCTTGCTGAGCGATATACTTATTTGTTATCAAGGGCAGATTGTGGCTTTTGCTGCACAGAGATGTAGCTGAACGATGAGGAAATGGCCTAGGGGAAGAGGCAGAGAATGTTGCTCTTGACACATGTATATTGAATAATTAGCGATAAGAGCCAAAGAAATATGCGTGACTCTGTAGAAAGATAAATAGATTTTTTATTAAATTTGAGTTTTCTCTTTAAAGCAGTTAAAGTTGCTCTGTGATTGGCAGCATGGAAATGAGTTTTCTATGGATTCTGGCTGGCCAGAGGATCCCTTTTAGAGCTGTTAGCCAAGATAATGCTGCATATAACTAGCTAGTGTGTGCTGGCAAGAATTCAGAATGGCTGTGCCAGAAACCTGTGCTCTCTGGGCAGTTGCAGTGCAGCTGTTGAATGATCGAATCAATCCAACTTGTTCAAAGGATTTGATAGCATTTTCTCCATCCATTCTCCTAGATGTTAGCAAAATTTCAGTGGTGCCTTGTAAGACACCTAGCAGATTCCACTGCAATCCAGCTGACCTCAGGAAGGTAAATGCTTTAAGTGCATTTGCTAGTGGGACACATAAATAGGTACGTACCTATCTTGGGTTCTTCACAAAACTTACATTCTTCTTTTCAAGGATGTTAGCACTGGAAGCTGTCAGGGTGGTTGCGTTGCTCAGCATCCACAATTAAGAGTTCTGAAATCTTTGTTGGAGTCATCGTATACAAATAAAAACTCAGAAGCACTCTGCAAATTGAGTTACAGACTCTTCCAGTGCACCCCAGATGGCACCCAAATTGTGCTGAAGGATACTGCTGAACTGTACAGGATACTGTGAAGGATTTGAGAGGTCCGGTTTAAGTGTCTAGCTCAGGCACAGACACCACCTGTAGTAGCCATTTAATGTACTGTGTGTCTTTGTAACTCACCTTCTGTAGGAAAGGTAATGGTAGCATCATACCTGACAGAAGCTAAAATGCATGCAAGACTGAGAAACTCAGACATGCTAAGTGACAGGAGTTCAACAGTTACCTAGATTGTGTCTTCACTCCTTTGTTGCCCCCGATATGTTTTCCAGTAAACCTACTGTGACTCAGTTATATAGAACATGTTAGGATTGGTCTTTTTATTCTGAGGTGACTAAATTGAGTGAATGTCCATGATCTGATGTAATTTCTATACTCTTTTTGCTACCATAGTTTTTTCCAAATTATAGTTGCATTACTACCTTCCCTACAGCTCCCATACTGCCCTCTTTCACTGTTCTGTCTAGCACTAGTGACACTTGGCTGTGCTTGTCCAGTCCTGGGTTGCAGTCCCACTTCTGGTGCTGCTCCTTAATTCTGATTTGTGTGTACCTTAAGGATGGCCTGTACACTGTACACAATTTTTACGATACGAAAAAAACACTACACCACTAGTCAAGCATTCTCACAAGAATAGCTTGTCTTCTAAAAGCTTGTAAAATCATGCATTATTCCAGTGGCATGACTGTTTCTTGGTTAAGGCTTTGGGGTATTAAAAAGAACAGGTGTAGGGTAGCTGTTGGATTGCTATAAAGAAGCAAATTCACAGGGAGCAATATACGTTGGAGGATTGGGAACACATTCATAACATTAAGCAATTCAGTGTCTCACTCTGGCCTCACTTTCTCTCCAGCAGTGGCCAGCAATATGCTGAAAGTCCCCCCAGATCACTCCCACTTAATCAAGAAGCAACAATTTTATTAGCATTACTGACTGCTTTAGCTTTATTTCATTATTGCTACCATCACACTCTTTGTTACTATAGCAGCTTTTGTCCTAAAAGGTTAAAGTGTCACACAAATCCCAGTGAATTCAGTCATACAAACTTTTGTGAGGTATGAAAGCTGTGGTGGCATTGCTCCTGTTTTAGTCAGAAGAGTAGACTCATGGTGAGGTTCTGGTCACCTTTTTCAAACTGGCTGGCTACAGCTCTTAAAGACATTAAGTAACCTTGTCCATGTCCATATGGCTGCCGGTGACAGAGCTGCCAAGAGAGTCCAGGTAGTCTGTCCTACCCACTAGGCACAAGTCCATTCTTTTTGGTCTCCCACGGGCCAACTCTGGCCAGCTGTCTGAGGGAAGGCTTTGGTTTTCATTATCTGTTTTGACTCTCAAATTGAGGTTTTTAAAATCCAGTCTAAATTAAGACACCTGAGATCACCTCTGAGCAGATAGACCTGGTTAGAATACCTGTGATAACCTCTTAAATGGGGGGGTGGGGCAGTATTAAATACTGTACTAAACTTCTGAATTCCACCTTTCCTAAAATTTGTGAGGGATCAATTGCCTTTCTCTCTCCTCGCTTAAGCATTGCTGTCAAGGTAGCTGCAGTCCCAAGTGTACCCTGAGTTTATTATCATGGTCTGCCAAAAGCTGTGATACCAAATCAGGGCAGTCCATGCCCAAGGGATGATATTTTGCCATAAGATAAGTGCAGTGTGTATGGAAATTCAGTTAATGGTCTGTCTCACTGGGCATTAATACAGCATTGTAGCAAAAGCTAACCTCAGTGTGCTTCTGTTTTGCTCATTACTTTGTGAGACAGGTATTGCCCAGCCATGATTGCGTTTGTCACAGGAAACAAATGCACAAATGAAGACAGGCTCAGGGACTGCTGGGAGGTGTCAGTATAAACAATAGCATGATTTGCACACAGGTCTCAGACAGTTTGCATCCCTTCTACTTGTCAAGTTACTTTAATGAAGGCTATAAAATAAATAGCTGTGGCTATAATCTTTAGGAATTAAAATTATTACCTGGCAAGTTGAAGTAATTAACTATTCTCAGCCAGGAATCAAACCAGAGATATATGGGTAGAAGGATGTGAAAAGAATATATTAACTCCCTAGGTAACAGTACTACTGTCCATCCTTCTTAGTTTCTTAAAAGAAAAAAATTGCATGTTAAAATCATGTATCAGCAGCTTTTATGACCGCTGGAGTAATTGAGAGCAATCTTAGCAGAAGAGATGCAAGACATGGTTTAGGGATGCGTGTGTTTGGTCTGAAAATATTGTTCTGGTTTTTTTCTTATAAAAGGCTATCCAGCATGAGCCTCCCTTCTAATTAGATACAAAGCCAATTTAAAGGGTGCGCCTAGAGGGCTGGAATTCTATATAGTTGCAGAACAAGCCTAGTCTTCTCTTCCTTCCTCACTTTTAAGAAATTCATATTAGGGCCATAGAATTTTGAATTATGCTAGTTCTTGACCATTTTCTGAGTTTCTTAGAAATGTGTTGTCATTGAGGTAAGGAAAAAAGTGCTGGTTTTGCACACTTGCATTCTGTATAAGAGAGTCAATCGTGATTCTGCTAAACAAAATGGAAATGCATGTAATCCATAAATACCAGGCTGTTACATGCTCATTTGACTGTATTTTGTGTTTCAGATCACCACATTATGCTTGCCCTGAAGTCATCCGGGTAAGTTGGTTAACATTAGTATGTATAAATATACTTTTCAAAGTGTCACTCGTTGCAAGTATGCAGATAGACCCCTTGTACAGGAAATCTGTCCGAGGCAGACAGCATTGGAAAGGACACAAGGAACGTAACTACGGTTTTGTTTGTTTGGCTCAGCCCTGAATCAAGCCACATTGACTGTATAAGGGAAATGACCGTATGTTATTCTCACAGTACCCTTCGTGCCATGTGATCAGACAGAAATACAGTAGCCTCATTTAACTTGGTCTTTCCACCCAGGGGATGCAGTCCCCTACACTTTCCTGTCTCTGATGTAGCTGTCATTTCAGTAGAAGAACTGAAAATAAGTATCCAAGATTTCAGTGGCCAAGATTCCCCTCTTTTAAAGCTTATCTTTAATATAAAGCCAAGCAGGAAGCATATAGAAGAGACTGTCCAGGCAATACTATGAGTTCACAAATGATGTGACTGGTAACAAGCTCCGGAAGAACCAGGGAAGAGAAAATCACCTTCCTGACATCCTTAATGCACCTCTGACACTGTTTAAGTGCCAGGTCTAATCACTTGTGAGTTGTCAACCATTCCTGCCCTGCTCCCCACTTCTGAGCCTGTTCTTACAGATCCCAGATAAGACTGTAAACTGATGTTCATAAAAATTCAATTAATGGGCTGTGTCATGGCCTCCTACGTGGGAAGGCCACCTTGGGAGGCAGGTGGCTGAATTGAAATGTGGGGTTTCCCATTCTCCCCTCTCTTGTTCTTCAAGGATAATTAATTCATTTACTAGTGAGCAGTCCTTTGAACCTCTGTGTCATTGCTGCGCAGGGAGAAAAATATGATGGAAGGAAAGCAGACGTCTGGAGCTGCGGAGTCATTTTATTTGCGTTGCTAGTGGTGAGTCATCTTCCTTGCGCTATCCTTTAAAAAGAAAAGAAAAATACGAAAATGCCTCTGTATCTAATGGCGATTCTATTGACATCATGTACAGATGGGTTTTTTTAGTTCCCCTATTTTTGTATCTCTCAGTTACATCCTTTCCTCTTATTTCTACATCAGTCCCAAAGGAAAAGCATGAGGAATATTTCACTGCTTCTTTGAAATGCTGCTACCCTGCACAGGACAGCATAGACAAGCATCGAAAACTTGTCTCCGTAAATTTTTTTGCTGTGTTGTGGTATTGCAGCACATTTTTTGACTGGAAAGGATGTGCAGGGTTACAACTCCAGGATACAGAGAGTGTCAAATAAATTGTCCTTCACAGGATCAAAATATGGTTGGTTTTGGGAAGTGTTTGTTTTTTCTGCAGTATGTATATATGTGTTTCAGTAGGTATGTGCATACTATATATTAACTGCAGTGTTTTATCAAGAGAAGATTTGAGTGCAACAATTTTTTTTCATGCCAGTATTGAGCTACATGTTAATTTGGTACATTTGGGAATATAAAACTGAGCCAGTAGTACAAAGTTTAAATTAGTTTCCATCTGGCTCAGTAATACTTTCTTTAGTATTCAAAATGTGGTATCTTGTAACTTA